CTTAACTGGCAGCCTCGGTCCAGTTGCAGATTCAGCCCCGTGCTTCCAGACTTCTGTCAGACTGCGGCATCTGAACCCCAGCAGAGAGAGAGAGAGAGAGAGTGTGTGTGTGTGTGTGTGAGGAGAGAGAGAGAGAGGATGAAAAGTGGGAGCGGAGGCACCTGGAGCAGTAACCGTCTCCAGGACAGAAGGTGGAAGTGGCGCGGAAACGACAGACATGAGATGCTGTGGAAGGTCGAGGGAACAGGAGGGCTGAGGAAGCGTTCTGCGAGGGGGAGCGGCCCTGGGGACTGCCTTTTCCACGTGTCTCAGCAGGGGGACTCTCGGCACTGGGTTACGCCAGGTAGAGGGAACGGCCAAAGCCAGATGGGAGAAGCCCAGGTGCTGTCTGGGGATCACCCAGTGAAGGGTTCGGCATTTGGGTTTACAGGTGCAGGAAGGAATCTGAAAGCCCCATTATCCATTACACGCTGCGTCTCACAACCTGAGGACAAGTGCGACTTGTCCTGCTAAGGACTCTCCCCGCATTGCCCCCGCCCCTGCTCCCTGGCCACCCAGAGCCTCCTGGCTGCCTCAGCGCTCACCGTTCATGTGGTTCACCAGCACCTGCCCGACACCTCCTCTGGAGCCAGTGGGGGACAGCTCGTGCCTTGATGTCCTTGTCTTTCCTTCGGGTTACAAGTGTCACCGTAACTGACACACCTCCCACTGCCCTCTGACCCCTGCTGGCACCTTCTTTGTGTGAGGCCTCAGGCAACCTGGGCCGCAAAAATGGTTTTTGTCTTGAAAAACTGATCAGAAAATTTTGGAGAGAGTGTGAGTTTCCTTTGTGGAGAGAAAAGCCCGCTGACTCCAGTTTTCAGACGGACCCTCAGACTCGTCCTCCTGTAACCCCTGCAGGGGAGACCCAGGGTGTGCATCTGACGGACAAGCTGCGAATGGTCGGTGGGGGGCTCGGACTGAACTGTGGTGCGGACCCAGCAAATACTACTGTGCCCCCACTCAGTAAACAGTGGCTGTAACTCACAAGCTGCTTAATGCAAATGTCTGCACTGGCATGATGTGTGTGAGATCCGGTGGAACATTACTGTCGTCGCCGGAGGGGGGCACGGGGGGGTGGGCCCGATGCCGACCTATGGCCTGGCTTTGCGAATGTGCTGCGGTTACGTAAGAGGTATCACCGGGGAAGGCTGGCTGGAAACTGCATGGGAACAGTATGTGCTATTTTTGCACATTCTTACAAGTCTTAAGTTATTCCAAAATAAAAATAAGAAGTTTGTTCTCTTTTTGAGAGCAAGAACAGAATCAAAGAGATCGTCTAGTCCAGTTTTCAACATTATTTAGCAGTGGCCTTGCTCTCGCGCCCTCCCCACTGGCTCCCCCAGCGGCCCCCGGGCACCTCCTGGCCACTGCAGGGCTCTGTGAAGTGCCGCTTTGAAGAGGCTCATCCAGCCCAGCGCTTTCAGGCTCCAGATGAGGCAGTCAGGGCCCAAAGAGGTGAAACGCACCGCTCCTTGGGGACCCTGGATAGACACACGGAGCCCGGCTCATTCTTCAGTGCTGTCACTCTCTGCAGCCACTGTTAACTCACAGCTCCTTAGCTAACGCTGCGGCTCTCAGATGAGGTGAGGCCACGTCGGCCGGAGGCTGTACGCTCCTGCATTCCGTCTCTGGTGTGTGGGAGGTGTCCTCCTCCATATGGTGGATCCGGGGCACAGCCGGTGGGGCCGCCAGGCGGTGTCACAATCTACCCCTCAGCCTGGGAAGGCCAGTCTTTGGCACACGGCAGGAACTGGGGACCTCAGAGGAGGCCCCTGGCTTCTGGCCACCTTGGCATCTGCTCTGACCGCCGATCAGGACTGAGGCTAATTAGCTCTCCTCTTCCTTGTGATTCAGGCCCAAGTCACCAAAGGAAGGGGAATGTCGTGCACCTTGGCTTACTTCCTTCCAAGGGTAATATAATTGCAGTCATCTTCTCTTGTATTTGTCTAGGGATTTCCAGGTTGCAAAACCCTTATATGTTCCCCTGGGTAAGCCTCACTCCCAGCTTTCATAAAGGCAGACTGGCTTTCTTTCTGCTTCATAAATAAGGGGCATGACCTTTCCAAGGTCACTCACTGAGTCTGTGTCAAGGCCGGAGTCAGAACACAGGTCTCCAGGGTCCTGGTCAATGGTCTTATTATGGGGGAGATCTTGGTCATTGCAAAGCACCTGCCCAAGAATGAGGATCAACAGGCAGGTGGTGGTGTCCTTGTCATTGTGAGCATGATCCTTGGCCACTCGTGATTTTGAAGTATGAGGACTCCAAGACTTGGTCATTCTCCAGACTTACCCAGGAGCTAAAAGCAAAGGTTTCCTCTCTTCCTACGCCTCCAAATGGTTAGAGCCCAAAGATGCCAAATGGGGGAGGGGGTGCATGAGTAAGACGTAGATTTTCCTGAAAAGCAAAACCAATTACCCATGTGCCACAGGAACCCATGTGACAACTGACCAGCAGGACAGCTGCCCTGAGCTGCCCGGCATGCCCGGGCTCCGGCAGGCTGCGTGTCCACCTCCACAGCCGTTTACTCAGCACGCATGGTCCGCACCTTGCTTCCATAGGGGCAACTGGCCATGTCCTTCCCCTGGCAACCTCTTCGCCCTCCCCATGGTAGGACGTAACCTTGGCTGTCCACGTGGGAACTCATAATGGAGCCTGTCACTGGCCTCTTCCCTTGACATTCTTCCCAATGTCCTAGCACACAGGGGGAGCGGAGGGACCGCTTTAAAGCCCACACGTACTTCAGACCGTATTCGCAGCTGCCGCCTGCTAGGAAAACTAACCTCCCAAGGAAGGCGTTGGTCTTTCACACCCCCAGAGACACGTAGAAAGTAAACTAGTGACTGCCTCAAGAATATCGTTAAGCCATCTACACAGGTAGGCACCCAGCACCTGTTAGGCACCTACTACCTACTCGGTGGGTAACCTTCCAAAGCAGCAGTTCTCAGTCTTCGTAGTCAGTGTGCTCCCCACACTAGGACCTCCTGCTGGGCCTCTGCCACAGAGGTTCCATTCGGGTGGTCTGGGGAGGGGAAAGTAATTTCAGTTCCAACACGTTCCAGGTGATGGTGGTGCTGGGTAGGGACCACACTTTGGAAACTACAGTCGCAAAGCAGAGACTGGCCCCGAAGTGAGTATTTGAGGCTCACAGGGCCATGCGGGCTCTGTCTCAGCTCTGCCACTGTAGCAACAGAAAATATGTAAATGAATGAGCGTGTCTAAATTCCAGTGACAGTTTATTTATAAAACAGGTGGCATTCTCATTTCCAAAAAAAAATTGTGTTGCAAATATAAAAATAAAAAGTAAAGCTGTTAAGACCAGAGCCTCATTCTGAATGGATTTCTGAAAACTCTTGGGTGGGAATCAGTGTTAAAGGCTCAGATGCATTCACATCCCATCACCGGGATTCACTGGCCGTGTGACTTTGAAGGTCATTGCCATCTCTGTAGAATGAGGATGATAATCGTGCAGTGAAAATTGGGGAAAATGTTAACATTTGTCAAGTCTGGGTGGTGCTTACATGAGTGTTTGATTTATTTTTCTTTATATTCTGCATGATTGAAATATTCGCTAATTTTAGAATTTATGTCTTTTAAAAGTATGTGGCTCGTATGTGGCTTAGACCTTAGGTTCCAAAGCCAAACAAGTGCTCAGTTATCTTCTGAAGTCAAAATCACCAGCACCCAGGCTCTTAGACAGTCAGAGGCCGGGAACGTCTTGCGCGCGTTAGGACTGGAGAAACCCTAGGACTCAGGGGCAGCTCGAGCTGGACACCTCGGAAATGGGGCCTTTGGTCTCCTTCCCCCCCCCAAACCCTGCCCTTTGGTCCCCTTCCTTAATTCCATGAATGGCAGCTCACATCTCCTCAGGACACAGAAAATGTCATCCAGGAGGAGGCATATGATGAGGGAGGGTGGAGGACAGAATGGTTGTATAGCCCGGACAGGACAGAAATGTCTTGTAGCTCATCCCCTGCTTTTGTGTACTAATCAATCGAGGCCCGAGGAGCAGGGGAGCTTACTCTCTCCATGGATTCGCCCGTGTGGCACCTTACTACGGTTGACTGGTTTTGTCCCCATAGCAGCCACCTAAGACGGGTGCTGTTAATTTCCTAGTTTATAGACGAGGCAGGAAGGATAAGTCATGGGTGCAGGGTCACACTTCCGGGCAGAACAGAGCTGGGGCCGGTACCCAGGCAGCCTGACTGTGGAGGCCATGAGCTTGGATCCCTGTGGTGTGCTCCATGGAACGCGTACTTCCCTGTCTGTGGGCGACCAGTGGGTGGAGGAACAAAAGCGCCACTAGAACATGAGCTGCCTGGCTGTCCCTCCAGTGGCGTGTGTGGTGTACTAGGGGATGGGAGGAAACTGCGGCAGGGGCTGCAGCAGCTGTGTTCAGTGCATTTCTAACTTCCCCCGATCGTGCTGGTGCTTCCCTGTGCAGATGCACAGGGTGCTTTGGAAACAGCGCCGAAGCAGGAAGATGTCCCTGTCGGTGGGGGTACATATCTGCTCTTACGGAAACCTTGCCCTCCAGCAGGTTGCCTGAACTCAGTCCAGCTTCACAAACACACCCCGATTTTGCACGTCCTCTGTGCTGGGCACAGAGGATGCGGAGGCACTGCAGCGTCCAAAGCACTATGATCGTCCTCGATTACTTGGGTGACTGTGGGCCAGAAGCGATAGCTTCGGTGGGAACCCAGCAATATGCAAATTACCTCATTGCATCCCGTAAAGGAAGAAACGTGGGTATTTGTTACATGGCCCAGAACAGGCAGCCTATTAAAATCTAACATGGCCAAGTTGCCACCGCCCATCATGTGGCCCCAGAGAGCAGTGCACACTCGAGTTCCACCGAACCTTGACACGGGAATGGGGAGTGGTGGGCCTGACATTGGCTTAACCCAACAATCTGGTCCTCGCGTGCCCGGAGTGAGCAGTGTGCTTCTTCTCCCTGCAGGACCCCAGGAGCAAGCACAAGTTTAAAATCCACACCTATGGCAGCCCCACCTTCTGTGACCACTGCGGGTCGCTGCTGTACGGGCTCATCCATCAGGGGATGAAATGCGACAGTAAGTAAGTTTTCTTTTCCAGCCGATGGCGAGGCTCCGGAGCAGGTGCCCAGAGCTCCCCGAGCACTTCAGGTTCAGTAACATTTCAGCGCCAACTTGTCCAGAAAGAGAATCATTCAGATTTGCCTAATTGCCTAATTATGAACCAAAAAAAGCACTCAATTTATAAGTGAAGTTGGTGCTATCCCAATTTTTTGTGTTGGAAATCTGCAACCACGATGACATGCAGGCTAGTCAAATCCCAAAGCAAATGCCAGGTGCTGAAAAAAGACTCGGCACCTCCGGATCCCACATTTGGTTAGGCTTCAAAATCAGCGAAGCCACCACAGTCATTATCTTCCTATGTTTCTAATTAGTGGGCGGACCGTGGAAAAATCCAGTAGATTCTCCTTAAACTGAAACCACACTGAAAATAAAACCCAGGCTGGTGTCTCCTTAAGTTTGCTCGCCCTGTGTGGCCATGGGCAGCTGAGACCCCTGTGAGCCCAGCTAGTGGTGAGTCACTGAAGACACTGATGAGGAAGACCCTGGTGTCCTCCACCCTCCTATTCTGTTCTGTGTTTATCTCCATCAACCCCCAGGAGGAAAGAAAAACGAGTGTGGAAAGTCTTTGCTTTGATAATTCTATTTGAAATTCATTTTCCAGGCTATCTATTTGCTTAAATAAAAGCATATACCTTTAGGATATGAAAAGACTGTGCCTGTTTTTCTAGTACTCAAGAAAGTGTTACGGAAACATCAGCATGTTGTCATTCATTAGTGGTTACTGTTATGGCCAGGAGCTCTCCTACGTGTATCCTATATGGAGCGAGCAAACAGTGCATGGAAACAAAGATACATGCATGTTACAGAGTAGGTGGGTGGTTTCCCAGAACACAGGGGCTCTTCCCCTCCCAAAGCTGTGGCATTCAATAGCCTAACAAAACCTCTGTGATGATCCAGACCTGGGGCCTGCTGCATTTCAAGAAACCCTAGGATTCCCAAGACGTGGTTTGCAGGGGTTTTGCAAGCGCAATTCTAAGTGCATTTGTAAATATACTTTTAACTGCTTGAAAACTTGGAACAAAAATGAACACTTGAATGCGTCACACACTCAGCCTTGACAAGTTGAAGACAGCGTCAGAGACCTGATGTTGCCCAGCGCCGCTCACTGGGAAGGACGTGCAGTCAAGTTTCTCCTGCTGCACCCACTGGACAGAAGGGCCTCGGGACTGTGAGCACAGAGTCCGACAGCGTGACCGCTGGTGCTCACTCCTGTAGGAGCCAGGGTTTGGGGTGCCGTGTACCTTTAACAAGATACATGCATACATGAGTTCTTCCGGCAGAGCTGAGCATCCCGCAGAGCTGGCTTCACGACTTTGTCCGAATCAGAAGGCCTTGTGGTTTATCCATGCATATCTTTATAATAAATAAATGGTATAAATTTGAATTTATTAGCTAAGTTTATGCTAACAAACTAATACTCATCTGGTTATATTTTAGGATTCTGCCTAAGATTTTGTTTGAAAAAATGGGTTCCATTGCTAAAAAAAAAGTCTAAAAATTGGTGCTTTTTGTTTTGCTTTAAACTCCTCCCCTTGGAGGCCCAGGGTGTCTGGGGCGGCTGCCCGTGCTCCTTCCTGGAGGAGGAGGGCACCCGGACCCATCCCCTCCCCCAGCTTCTCTGGGAAGAATCCTCTGCCTGCTCCCTCAACACTGTAGGGTCATAACACCACACACAGTTCTGCTTGGTGGAAAAAACAACAGAAAAACCAAACTTATCAACCACTGTCTGGGCCAGGCTCTTCGTTTGCAGAGTAAGAAATGGCATCAGAGAGAGCAGATAAGCTTCCCAAGATTCAAAAGCTTCTCATGGTGGAAGCAGAGACAAGGACTCAGCCCAGGGCCCCTCACCCCTTGCCCACGCCCTCCCTGCTGTCCGGGCCCTTCCCAGAGCCTGTGGCCTTTATTGCCTTTAAGTTTCACATTCTTCCCAGGCACTTAAAGATATTTCAGTCTGAGTCTGTGTCTTTGCTAAGTCAAGGTTCACGGCTTTGAACAGGTAGCTTTTGAAATAGGCACGTGAATCCACGAATAGGTACCAGAATCCACATGTGTGAACCAGCCAGTTCTCTCCACCCCGTGTCCAGTGTCCTGCCTTCCATGTTCAGTCACGGCGAACAGACATCCTACACTGTGCTCTCGGCAACTTATTTCACCACACGAAAGTCAAACCTTCAGAACCAAACAGCATGAAGGCTGCCCCTCGAAGGTCACAGAAGAACCCGCCTGCGGCACCCCATCGAGGGCGGCCGAGGGCTGCGGCGGCCGGCCCTTCTCTGGAAGCCTGGAGGCGGGAGGACCCGGGAGCTGCAGCGCCTCCGCAGAGTCTGATGTTCGCAGGGCTCTTTCCACGGAGCCTCCAGTTCATCGCGGTGACTAGTCTTGTTCCTCAGTCCTCCCCCAGTCTCACCCACGCAGTGTCGGCTGGTAAAGAATGGCGTATCATGCCAGGCGTGTATTTGTTTTACTTGGAATAATATTTAAATATTTGAAGACAGGTTTAAAATATCAAATACGAGTTCTTTTTTAAAAAAAAAGCAAAAGCGATATATTTAAGCCTTCTTGAAAATACAGACTTAGCTCAGGAAAATTTTATGAATTTCCTATGTGCAACCCACAGATTCTCGCCCTTTCTGAGTGGTGAGCTAGAAAGGCACAAGAAGTGGTTTTGCAGAAAAAAAGTCCTCTGGTTAAGATGTGCATATTATTTGCCTCTGTGTACAAATTAGGAGTGAGGCTGTGCTTTGTACGCATTTACCTATGTGAAGTTTGTCCACTGTTAAATATTTGAAACCTCACAGAAGACCAGGCAGGAGCGTTTTGCTTTGGCTGAGCCTGGACAAACATGGTGTGGATATTTTAAGGATATTGTCACTCACACAAAGCCTGTGCTGTGAGGGACATCTGCTAACAGCTCTTTATGTCACCAACAACATACAGCAAAGTATCGAGTTCAAGGGTAGCCCGTTTTCACTTGTGCTCCTACAACCAAAACACTGAGGGAGCGATGGTCCACATGCCCAGCTCAGCCTGTGCTTTCTCGATCCGCAGCCTGCGACATGAACGTGCACAAGCAGTGCGTCATAAACGTCCCCAGCCTCTGTGGGATGGACCACACCGAGAAGAGGGGCCGGATCTACCTGAAGGCTGAGGTCGCTGACGAAAAGCTCCACGTCACAGGTAAGGCACACCTGTGGAGGCGTCAGGCCTGCAGCTCCCCAGTGGACGGAGGTTGGGGGCACACCGCGGCGGGGTTCAGATGCTTGGCTGGTTGCTGCCTCAGAGCTGGTCCCCATTAGCACGTCTCCTAGGAGACTGCTCCGCATGTGAGTTCCCAAAGGCTCAATGCCACTCCGAGTCATAACCGTGACAGCATGGCGGGTGCATTATCCCCTGGCGACAAGGGGCCAGGGAAGCAGAAATGCAGTGGGTGAGAACGGAACTGGGGCGGGGCAAGGGGCGGTGAGGGATGACCCACATGTTTCATGGCGTTGGGCCGTGCTGGCCTGGGAAGTCCGCCTTAAGGCCAGTGACAGCGAGCAGCCACTGAGCGTTCGTGTTTCCATGGCGTTAGGCATCGTGCTAAGAACTCCACATAGTTTACACGGTGCTCACGATCCCCCGACGATGAGCCTCATTTTCCAGAAGAGGAAGCCGAGGCTGAAAGAGCTCAGTAACTTGCAGTGTCACAGAGTAAGTGCAGAGCCAGGGTTGGAAACAAGACATGTGGACTCCGTACCTGTGCTTCTAATTGTCCCTCCATGGGCACCCCCGGCAAACAGCCCACGCACGGGACCAGATCCCCCTCCGTGGGCCAGGACACTGCCTCCCAGGGCTGTGTCTGGGTGGGCTCTGCCTCAGCGCGGCTCTTCCTGAGGTTGGCCCTCCATGTCCACGGGGGGTAAATCAACACTCGACCGAGTTATGCTGGAGCCCTGCTGGCCCTGCGCCCGGTCCGGGGTTCACAGGTCCTTGGCGCGCCTGCTGCACCCTGCTCTGTGCTGATGTGTCGTTCAGCTCGCGGGTGTCAACCCCGCCTCCTTGCTTGTGGGGCTCCCTCCCACCCCCTCTCTTTCCTTTGACGGAGGCACTGATTCTCAGTTAAACAGCAAAGATAGTAATGCTGCCATTTGTACTTAGGAATTTTAAGCTATGGTGAAAATGGAAAGGCTAACTTTAATGTTCTTTATTGTAAATAAAAAGATATTATAGGGGGAAGAAGATCAAAAGAGTCTATTTTTTAAAAAGACGAAATTCAGGGAAAGCTCATTTTTTTAAAACATCCTCATATTGTTAATTTAAAAAATAAGCATGTCCTTGCTTGTGTGGTTCAATGGTCGAGTGCCAATCTGCAAATCAAAGGGTTGCTGGTTCGACTCCTGGTCAAGAGCACATGCCCGGGTTGCAGGCCAGGTCCCTAATAAGGGACGTGTGAGAAGCAAGCACACATTGATGTTTCTCTCCCTCTCTTTCTCCCTCCCTTCCCCTCTCTGAAAAATAAATAACATCTTTAAAAAAAAATAAGCAAACTTTCTACCCACAGCGCCGGGCCTGGCCTGGGGCCGTCCTGTAATAAAAGCAGCAACCGCGTGGTGCTGCCCACGCTTTCCAGTCTCTCTCCCCTGCAGGCCTCAGGGGACTCTGCACATCTGCACAGGTGTCAGCCTGCATGGAGGGGCGCAGAAGCCCTGGGCGGGGTGGCACGTGCTACACAAGCAGAAGAGAAAGGTCAGGGCCATCTCCCAAGGACAGCAGAGTGTCCTCCCAAGGCCTGTCTGCTAGTGGCCCCACCATCGCTGGGCATGGGGCTGGGTTCACAGTGCCGGACCGTCTCAGGGGACAGCACCCTTCACCGAGTCAGACACGGACTCCTCCCGAAAGCCACCAGTGGGGCTTACGATACTAATCTAGGTCAAGTCTCTTGAGAATTAGTCCAGAAATGTTTGTGTAGATATAGCTGTGCTCTAGGAAGATGAATCCAGCAATAGTTTAACAAAGCAGCAGCAGCAGCTAACGCTGACTGAGCCCTTCCCACAAAGGGGCACTTTACACAGTGACTTATTTAAACCTATGTAGAGTTTCCACCGTCATTCTTGCTGTGTAGATGAGGAAACTGAGGGACAAAGAAAGTAAATGACTTGTCCAGAATCACACAGAGAAAAACCAAACTCAGGGAAGAGAGCCAATCACTTCTCTAAAACTTTTAATGTAGAATTACATGTAGATTTTCAGAATTAGAAATTGGTTTTAATGGGAACACAAATGTAAATAGTCAGCCACAAAGAGTAGAGCTCATGGTCCAAATGCAAAAACAAAAATGGGTTGTAGAAGTACATTTCCTGTATACCCTTCACCCAGCACCCCCAGTACTGACTGTCTTATGAAACTGCAGTTTTGAGTATCACTGTGGTCATCACATTTTTAAATAGTATGTGATAAATTTGTGGAAAAGAGGTACCTGTGTTACTCACTAGAAATTGTGTTAAAGGGCCAGAAAGACATCAGACTTATCCCGGTATGGAAGGGCTGCCAGGAACACAAAGCCAAGGTCCTTTCCAGCTGCACCTGCCGCCACCCCCTCCCAACCCAGGGCTCAGGCACAAGTTCATGTCAACGCACGGCCTAGACGACAGCAGCTGCCATTTACTGAGGACTCACAATACATAGACTGTTCGTAGAGCTGGACCTTTTCATCGTGTGGAGCACTTTATATCTATTGTTTCACTGACCCCCTCAAACAATACAACAAAGTACTATTATTATCTTCCTTTTCGAGATGAGCCAATGAGCAAAGGGAAGGGAAATTGCTACATATAATAAGGTAGTAATTGGTGGGGCGAGGACTGGATCCCAGACCTGACTCCCATAGAGTCCCCTTCACCAAAGACCAAATCCATAAATATCTGCTGCACCCCTACTCAGCACTCCACATATTCGTTGAGGTTACAGAAGGTCCACATGTGGGGCATAGAACCAGGGGAGAAAGAGAAACCCATGAGCGAATGAAAGGACAGCCCAAGTCCAAGTATAATTAAATGCTTGGTTACGTGGGGGCTAACCAGGGCACCACTGGGAGGTGCTCAGAGTCATGGCCGTGAGCAGGAAGGAAGGATGCTACAGAGGAGACCGAAGGGCTGTGGGTACTGGACAGGCGGAGGGAAGGGTGCTCCCCAGAGGGCTTCGTGGGACGTGGGCGTCAGCCTGGAGTTCGTGAGAACCCGGGTATAAACAACAAACCGTGATAAGGAGAGCTGATGGTTCAAATGTGAGTGATTTCTTGGAAAATGCACTTGAACTCTGAGCAGCTGTGCTAATTGTGGATCAGCACATTTTACCTGCACAGAATCACTCAAATCAAAAATAACTTCCAAAGTAAAATAAACTCCCAGTGGACTCCTTCTCTGGGACAGAAATCACCCTCTTGAGAGCAGAGATGAGTTTCCCGTCTAGATTGGGGTGGTATTTATAGGCAAGGCCTCACTTTCCTGCCATGTTTTTCTTTTTTGCCCTTGGTCAGTGGTGCCGATGTTATCTGAACATTGTCATTTTTTTAATATGTGATTTTAATAGGTCTTCTATGCTCTTTTGTGCTTTTTTATTTGGTTTGGGGGAGTGGTAAAATCCCTTATGGGAACCAATTTTCAATTTAATGTTGTAAGCAAATGGAAAAAATATCATATGCTTTACAACTGTTTTAGGAACACATCTCTCCCACAAATAGATTATTCTGTTGAAGAGTCTAATTTTCTCTCCTACTTTGGGTTGTTAATTTGGCACAGAGATTGAAGTTCTAAGAGGTCACATGGGAAGAGGACTTCCTGCAGGTCCTGAGCTTCTTTTGCACCATAAGGGTCACATCTTCTGTCTACCTTCAAGGACTGTGTGCAGTTTGGTGCCCGTGTCCCAACACCCCAGGCCTCGAGACTTACCATCGTCTTGCAGAGACTAAAATAATAACATTCCTTCTGTACTTTTCTGCCCTATAATGATAGTAGCATGTTTGCTGTGGCGTCAAGGCAGTGAGACTCAACTTCATAGTAACCATGTATCCTTTCGGTCTTTCATTTGTTACACATTCACTGAGCATGCTTCCGGCTCTCTACCAGGCCCCGGGATGCTGAGATCATTAAGACAGGGCTCTCATCACAGAATGTGCGGTCTTTGGGGGTAATTAAGACATGAGAAAGCAGCAGGGCAGTGCTCCAGGTGTGGTAGGAGTTTGGGAGAGCGGGGCCTCACCTGAGGAAGATGCTGGCAGGTTCACAGAGGAAGTGACAGCGGAACAGAAGGACAGGTAGGGAGTGGCATTTCAGGGAAAGATGCTGAGCCGTGGAAGGGCAGCAGATATTCAGGAAGCTCGACACAGAGCAGGAATTGGGCGATTCTGAGTGTGTGGTGGGGAGAGATGGAGGGAAATGTCTTTCTATATTTGGGATTAGGGCTACAACCATCCCACTTTACAGAACGCACAGTTCTTAGGAGTCAGGCGGTGCAGGCTCCAAGTTAAATACTTCTCTATCAAATGGGAAGACTTTTTTAAAGTACATACCTTTTTTTTAATCCTCACCCAAGGATATGGTTATTGATTTGGGGAGCAGGGAAGAGACAGACAGACAGACATCTCTGTCAGAGAGAAACATCGATTGGTTGCCTCCCACATTGCGCCCCGACCACAGATCAAACCCACAACCTAGGTATGTGCCCTGACCAGGAATCAAACCTTGAAACGTTTGATGCACCAGATGATGCCCCAGCCAACTGAGCCGCGTGGCCAGGGCTAAATGCTGCCGTCACTATCATTTTGTAACTGAGGAGACAGGTGGCTGAGCCCCAGCAGCCTGCCCAAGGTCATGTACCTGCCAGGTGAAGGACACTACACCCCGACACCCAGACTCGCCCCTCCCACTCCCTTCCGTAGCCGACTCCTGCTCTGGCCCAGGGAAGGCGACTGGCCAGCTCACACCCCTCTCCCCGTAGCAGAGACAGGGCCCACACCGCTGCTAAAATGTTTGCAATTTCACGTCTCTATCCTGCAATTCGTAGTCAGCGCTACTCCAGGATGGCCCTTCAACACCTATAATTACTGCAGTGTTGCTGGCACCATTGTGGCTGGGGGTCTGTCATTATTTCCCCCTGGCGCCTCCGGGTCCCAAGGCTGAGATAATGGCTGGAAATGAAAG